TGACCTTGATAGATAAATAAAGTTGTAAACTCGAAATAATTTTATTAAATTTAAAAAGAAAATTTAATTGTTAAATTCATGAGTTCATTGAAATTAGAGCACTATGGAAAACATGGAAGCAACTCAAGGCCATTTCGTCCTAGCATGGGACTCCTCAGCAATGCTCAGCCACGATCCCACCTCGCGAGATTCGAACCTAGGACTTACTGGTGTTGCGCATGAACACTTAATCTCTAGACCATTGAACCAACATCCAACGGTGTTAATGTCTAACTTCAACTAGTCCACGAAATTGAGCGATATATTCACTATTGTTTTCAGTAAGTTAGTATCTCACAACAGATCTGGTTGAACTCCACTGGTCAGTGTTTCTTACTAGAACTCTTGGAAACACCTCTTTAAGCCAAAGTGTATAAGATTCTTAAGAGACCACTGGCTCAATACATTTTAAGATATGGCTTCTTACAAAGAACTCATTATTTAAAGATATTTTAATACTAGTAGAACCAAGTTAACTTGGTTTGTGAAAATCTGTCATTTTAAGACGGTAAAGAATATTTATAGCTCATGATGATGCTGTTTGAGTTTCTGTGATGTTGTTCAAATGGACAATGAAAACTTTACAATTGATTCATCCAGATTAGAGATCGCCATAACTTCAATATTTAAATGAGAATTTCACTTGTCAATATGTGTGTATGAACCACAATCAAGTAAAAAGTTATTGAGCGTTGTGGCTAAAACTACTGCAGCTTATGATAGGTTTATTTTGAATTGCCTAAATTTGCTTTACACTGTATGATTTTAGTCTATTACAAATAACATCGTTTGTCAAAACAAATACCAATAAATGTATGATGTTTCTCTGTTTTTCTAGTTAATGTTTGCTTCTCTCTCAATGTGTTTGTTTATATGTTTGACAAATATAAACATAGTTACTTTCTGCCTTGACCTCAGTAACAACATTAATAAGTGGGCAAGTTGTATACAAGAATCAGAGAATTGGTAAAATGAAAAACAAAACTTAAAACCACATGATTGATGTTTATTTCAGGTTAGATTGTATTTAACCGATATTAGTAAATAATAACAGTCAATCATTGTAACGATTAACAAAATTATAATGAAAATTCTTCCTAATATAATAGAATTCTGAAAATAAGCAACAACAATACAGTATATGACTAAACTAAAATAGTTCACTCATTTTAGATTGGGTGCATAAAGCTAACTAGATGTATTATCCTCATCCGTATCATAACGAAGGTCTGATTGATAACTTTCAAATGATTGAACACTAAATATAGTTTCTTTTTAATGTACTTGGTAACATGAAAATAAAAAATATATTATTTTACGAATAGTAAGTTCATTTAACAATAGAAACATTGACAATTATTTGACTTTATTAAAAATGATTAAGGTGCACTCATTTTTTATACTCCACTTGAAGTCCCTCTGCCGGTCCCAAGCCTGGATAAAGGAGGAGGGTTGTGCATAAGGTTAGCAGCCCCATCCCGTAGAAAACTAACTCGTTAGAAAAACGCTAACCAGAAAAAAATAACTCAAACCAATCTGATCAAGGTTGTAAAGATGGACTTGTTTGGTGTTAGACCTTATTATTCTTAGGAATAATTAAAAGAGTAAGAAGTATTTGTTTTTTCTTCAAATATTTTATACTTTAAACTGTTTTGGAACTGATGACACTCAGCTGGTGATAAAAGACTTAGTAAACACATATTTAATAAAATTACCATCATAGTAGAATAAAATATGGAACTGTATTTAAGAAATTGGAAATAAAACATAATCACAAGACAGAAAGATTATAGATAAAATATAATAAATTTCATAATTGAGTATTAGGCCTGACATGATAGGTGAATAGTTTTGCTTTATTTTGCATAGGTAGTAAATTTAACTTTGTACTTTTAAAAACTTGGGTATAGATGGGTCTTTTTTATTTGTTTATTTTGATACAATTCAAACATTTATGAACATTATTTCTTTGTAATTGTTAGTTAGATAATGAATTTAACAATCATCCTAGTTGAAATATAAGCTTTATCCTTTGATTCTATTTATTTTCATTTACTGAAGAGTATTATATATTTAGATATATTATTTGAAGTTAACTCCAAAAGAGACTAAAATTCTAACCGATTATATGTTATAGGGAGAAAAGAAAAGCATCAGAAACCTGATAGTTGGATGACTTAAAATAAACATTCATTAGGTACATACTATACATGTAAATCTATTTATACTACTTTTTAATTCTTTAAATAGTTACTGAAAATTCGAAGAACTGTAGTAGGATAATGATTTCAGAGTGATAGCTAAATTTGAAAATTAATAATCAATTCAGTTTTGAAAGAATAATAATCTTCAATGTTGTATTAAATCTTCCCCAATAATAAGTTCTTAGCCTAGAGAAATCTTAAACTGTAAACTATTAAACGTTGATTCGGTATTATACATGATAGAAATAGATAGTTAAATGTCTTACTTAAGATTCGTTAATACTACACTTTGTAATGATTGTTAACTTTCATTAAGTTAAGACATTACAAAAGTTTTTTGTTTCTTGGATTTATTTAGAAAATGTAACAGATGATCTACTACAACGAGCACTTGAATCATTGTCAAATCGATCAATGAAAGATGTACGATTACCTTATACAATAATTCCAAGTTTCTATGATTTAAAACTTCAAGTACATTTACATCAAGGCAAACCAGAAACATTCTTTTTTAATGGATCTGTTACTATCAAGATTTATTGTTCAATATCTACTAAACACTTCTTTGTACATGCTCATAGTCGTTTAAATATTAGTTTAGATAAAATCAGTGTAAGTTATACATTTCATTAATAATTTGTATATAAATTTTAAATTAATTTATTTAAGTATTTACCAATTTAAAAATAATAATCCAGAATGAATCTGTCAAATGAATTGGAATACATTATTAATGAAATTGTTATACTATGATGCATACTACTGATGTCGATAAATATAAGTAATATATATCATCAATCGAAAATGAAATACCTGGTGGCAGAAAGTTAAGACGATCGAAGAAAAGAGGACGAGAACAGAAAATGATTGGTGTGGAAACGAAAAAAACAATCAAGTTTGAAAAAATTGATTTACATTTTGTAAATAAAATATTTACTGTATGGTCCTGAGATTTTAGTAAGAGATTCTGTAATTTTAAGTCCAAATATATTTGATTGTCCCTCATTAGTGCTCTCATTCACTACAATACTGTTATGCTCCGATAAGCATAATGAATGGTAACTTTCGGGATCCATTTATGGACCAGTGCTATGCGTATATTTTTATCGTACTATTGTTAAATAACTAAACTATTCGTATTCATGTCCCTCTTATTATGAGCCTTTTTTTGACCTATGAACTATTATTATACGATTTACCATTCTTGAATTATTCCCTGTCTATTAATTACTACCTTGTATAAGCGTTGTTTCCTATTTTGTGGTACTATGTGGTCTGTCTTGTTGGTATATAAGCCCAGTATGCTTGAATTAGACGATTCATATCGCAGAGGATAAGATTGATGTTCTGGACTTAAAAGGCTGTGCTAGGCGGTAAGCAGGACCGATAAAAACTATAGACTGCTCGTACGGGTTTACGCGTCATTGGTCCGATCTATAATCCACTGTTCTCTAATTGGCGCTATTACTACGTTATATATTAGCAGGGCACTCAAGTCACAAGTTATAAAAAATACTACTGACAACACATCAGAAATGATATATATTTAATCTTAAAGAAAAAAATCAACTCAATGAATATAAATTTATAACATAATAGTATTACTACTTAACAATCTGGGAAAATATGTATACTTCACCAGCATGTTATTGTTAAATTCTGTCATTATTTTGAACATTATTGACATCCTTATAACATCACATATTGACAAATTGATAGAATCACCGTTATATAATTTCGTAAATAATACTTCAAAACTCTTTTCATATTTTCATCTACAATATTTATGATCAGATAAAAAGAAAACAATTATGTTTAAACTGTCATTTGAAAACTTACTACTCTTATGAATCTCATTATTCTCTTGAATTATATATTTATTCGTATAATAGATTATACTAATCTGTTGATGGTACACAAACATCAAGTTGTAGAAACTGTACAGTATATCGATTTTTACTTAGTTAAAACTATAAAATGTTACATGTGTTTAGTTAACAAAACGGAAATGTTTCAATGAAATAGAATATAAATTGTAATTTTTGTTATCAGTATAGTAGTTGTGGAGATTATTAAGTTTTTAATTGAGATCATGAACCGATTGATGTTAGAACACCATTGAAAACTTGGAAGCACTGAACGGCCATTTCTTCCTAATGTGGGACTCCTCAGTAGTGCACGTCCACAATTCCGCTGATGGGATTCCAACCCAGGGCTTTCAGTCTCGCTCACAAACTCTTAACCTACTGGGAGATGGTCGTGTAATTTCGTGGATCGATTGAGGTTAGACATTAACACTATTGGTTGCCAGCTCAGTGGTCCAGTAGGTTATGTGCTCGTGTGCGAGATTGAAGGCCCTGGGCTCGAATTCCTTGAGCGAGATCGTGGATGCGTACTGCTGAGGAGTCTCATAATAGGACGAAACGGCTGTCCAGTACTTTCAGGTTTTCAATGGTAGTCTAACGTCAATCGGTCCATGATCTCAATTAAAAATGTAATACTTGTTGTTGTTGTTCTTTACTTAGTTATAACTTTGAAAAGGTCTAATGAAAGAGTTAAGCATTAAATCACAAACATCAATATAACTCTATGCAAAGATACAAGAAAAAAACATGTACTTGTATTGATTTATAAATGAAAAATTTTTCATTGTTTTTCTTTCTTTTTTCTGACTACATTTAAACATCTGTTTTATTGAGTTACATTTTTTTGTTTTTAAAAAATGTATTGGGGAAAGAAACAGAAGTTATGTGTACCTATATATATATATATATCTGTATTTAAACGGGAATCAATTGTTGTTTTAACATATATGCCTGATGAAAATATGGATGTCGCCAATGTTTAATAAATTTTAATAGATTTTATTTTAACTATGAATGTTACAATGATTCAATGTTGAAGAAGAAGAAGAAGAGGAAGAAGAACGACAACAACAAAAAGCACAACATAATATACTGCAACAATTCCATATGGTCATGAAAATGAAATTGAATCGAATTGAAATGAATACAGTTTGTAATTTATTTATTCCCATTTTTCTTTTAAAATCAATAAGGAGAGTTTTTCATTTGATGAAAATTATAAATTTTTCAATGGTTAAGATCATGAGTCAGTTGAAGCTAGACCACCATGGAAAACCTGGAAGCACTGGACGGCCGTTTCGTCCTATTGAGGTAGTAACTCACTGAATGTGTCGCTCAACTTTGTGGATTAGTTGAAGTTAGACATTAACACCGTTGGATGCCGGCTCAGTGGTCTAGTGGTTAAGTGCTCGGGCGCGAAACCAGTAGGTCCTGGGTTCGAATCTCGCAGGGGGAGAGGTCGTGGATGCGCACTGCTGAGGGGTCCCACAATAGGACGAAACGGCCGTCCGGTGCTTTCAGGTTTTCAATGGTGGTCTAGCTTTAACTGACTCATGATCTTAACCATTGAAACTACTACAATCTCCACAAAAACCCATCTGATATAAATTTTTCATTTTAAATAGTTGCTATGTTGTTAGTAATTTTGTGTATTGTAAAACATTTAATTAACATTATTTTATAACTAAAAGTGTAATTAAATTATTACATCAATGTAATTGTTTGTTTTAATGAAATAATGATTTGTTTATTGATAGGTAAGTATTCTATTTAGACTTATTGTTTAGTCAAAATGAATGATTATCCAACTAATTCTATGATCAAAGATTTTTCTGTATGTTCTGTTTTAAATTCAGCAAGACTAAATACGTTTTTAATAATGATCAAAGATAATCTGTGACCACACTTCTATATTGGAATAGTAATTAATTACAGTGAATATATAAACGAAATGATTGCATTTCATTGATTAGTTTGTACCTCATTACCTTTATAAAGATATTTTTATGATTCATAGAAATGAATAAGATCAAAGATCATTCTATGTATTGATCTAAAGAAAAGTACTTATATTCTTGGTTTCAATTCTGTCATTATTTGTATTAGAATCAATGTGAATAATACAAAAAACTATAATTGAAGTCTTCTTAGTAACTAACGAATACCTAACACTTCGTTTGAATAAAATACAATTCTAAAGTTACTAATTTTTTAAACTTCTTCAAGTTGTAATTGGAAAAGAACTAATCAACAACTGACAAGTTACAACGATGTACATGTATCATAATAAATGTTTATATAAAATAGTTTGAAAGTAATTCATGTAAATACTTAAGATATGTAAACATTTCTTTAAAAATATTATTTTATTATTTAGATATCTATTCTAAGTGATGATGGTAATACACATGGTAACATTGATCTTAAAAATATTTCTTATGAAGAAGACTTAGAATGGTATAGAATAGAATTGGTACATTCACTTCAACCTTTTACTTATTATGAATTAACCTTTGGACAATTTCGTTCAGCTTTAAACGATGAATTGAAAGGTTGGTATTTGAGCAAGTATATAGAAAATGGAACATATAAGTAAGTTTTAATCAAAAATAATAACAGATTAGTTTCAGTTCATTTGTTTTATACAAGTAGTATCAACGTTTCATTTCGTTAGAAAAATATATTTATAAAGAGAAAACGGACCACTATATGGAAAGCGATAATTTTTGCTGAATTCTTATACATGCGTTTACTGTGACTGATTACTTTAAATCGATTTTTGTAGCAAACGCATTACTTTCAGCCTTTTAGCACAGTACATTGTTGTAGTTTGCTGATAGTAATGACGTGTTTTATTGAAATTCATGAGATTTATGAGGTTTTCTAGAAGTCTCATAGGCTATTGAACGATTTTGAAATGAAGGCTTTGTAAAACATATATGCTTTTGTTGTGGTTAACAGGTTTTTTAAAGATTAACTCCGATTCACAAGGGGTTTTCATTACTGATTAGAATCAGTTGATATATTATTTAAAGGAATACATGTTATGTATAAATGGCGAAAGCATATCAGAAATATATGTCTGTCATTGTTGTAATAACAAATGAACCGTCCCTTTTAACAGTAATTGACTGGCAAAACTACCCTAAAGAGGATTAATTGTCTATCGTACTGTATAACGTCCGTTTTTCATCTTTAATTTTCAAAATTTTAATTAATTAGTGTATCATACTCTAGATATCATCATTATGTTTGTGCGTAATAAAATGCTGTGACTTGATGAAAGTTAATTTAGTATGTGCTAGTTAGTGAAAGACTTAGAGAACATGCGATTCCCCTAATTATCGCATTTATTTGTATTCATTACTCTAAAGCAGTTTATATTATTAAATGTGAAAACGGTCCACGGGTGAACTCGAGGAAGCTCTAAGAAGCTCAGAAAGAGCCAAATATATCCTATACAATCATCTTTTGGAAGAATATTCCAGAATCCCTACCTGCACCTTTCCTATTGGACAAATGCTAAAACCCCCTGTGTGTGGGGATTGGATGACTATAATGATGATTTCGTTTTTATTAAAAACTATAAATACTTGACAGTTTTGTACCATAATTGACACTGTTTGGAATAACATCCCTTTCATTTGTCTTCTGTCTTCTCATTTGCGACTTGGGAGAGTTCTAGCGTTCGAGTGCTCAAGTTATACGCGGCACATTAAGAATCTATGCATCTAGATATAACATTAAAGAATGATACTACATAGTCATTTAACCACATTTTGAATAGTTAGTAATGTTGATATCATTAATGGTGTGATATGTACATAAAAGAACTAGACAACATCACAGTGTTAACAATAATGGTACTGATTCGCGTTCCACAACGTTGAACTGTTTAAAAATACAACCTACAATTAGTAATACAAATAGCAAACATCACTAGTTGATATTCATTATGTACAAGATAATGAAAGTAAACAATATTCTATTAATGTTTTTAAGCTTAAGTAAAACTATAATAATTAATTTACTACATTTCGTCGAAAACAATGTCATAAATCCACTTTGCAACTGGTTCATACATGTCTATGAAGTATATCACTTACTGTAACGAACCTCATTAGTTACAGTTAACAACTTGTCCATTAAAAATAGTATCAGTGTACAATATATGAAAATCTTTCCTTACAAAGTTAAATCAACAAGTGGAAGGTAAATTAAAAATTCATTTTAGATTTATTACAGTCTATTGTTTTTCTTATTCATGATTCTTTCATTCTGTAAGAATATGACTTATGACTAAATGAACCGATATTCATTTTTCTACTTATTTATTTACGATTGGCAATCATCTAATTCAATTCTTTCTTATTTTTATATAAATTCAATTTCTGTTTTTTTTCTACAGATATCTTGCAACTAGTCAACTTCAACCAACTGATGCTAGACGTGTATTTCCTTGTTGGGATGAGCCTGGATTTAAAGCACAATTTCAGGTGTGAAATTTCTTAACATCCAGTACGCCATAATTTCAATCATGTTTATTTAAACTTGCCCTGTTCAAAAAACTAAAACTAATCCAACAATATTAGTATAACATAGTGATAAATAATTTATCCGTAAATAGAATGAGTGATATTCAAAAGTTTATTTTATCCCTAGTAATCAAGTTCTAAAAGCTAAATATGTTGCTATCATAAAGATCCTATTCCATCTCATTGCATTTACTTAGATGTTAATTTACTTTAACCTAATTTTAAGGTTTCAGGTCCTTTCTAATGTAAAATGAACTTATAGAAAAATAAGTAAGACCTGTGAAATAATAATTAAAAATAAACTGAAAGGCATTTATTTAGGTATTGGCCATTCTTTCAAGATACGTTTTTGAATAGTTTGACTACTAGTTTTCGTCTATTTTAAATTCAATAGAATCCATGTTATAATTAAATAACGAAATTCGATTGATGTGTATCATCTAGAGAATCACTGAACACTTAGGATTATCTCCATAGATTCCTGTTTTACTTATGATCAACTTCACTTGATAGATAGATTAGTATTCCGTTACATCTTAGTGTATCATCAGGAAGTTGATATTACTTTCAGTTTGTTACAAGTAAGAATTTTTGCAACCTAATAATACTTCAAACTCAATTGATATTGTTGACTTGAATCATTACATTGATGTTTAACACTGCGATTGATCAGTCACTCATTAGCATATGTGCATGCTGTGCAGACTGACTCGATATTGTCCTAGTTCACGAGCATTATAAACAAAGATGGATAATGTCTTGTAGTGGAATCTAGGACGTGCATTCTTTTCTCTTTGGTACTCGTTAGTTGGATGTACCTATATCCCAGATTTGATGTTCACTCTGGGATACGCACCCACTACTGTTCGCTTCAAATATACAAGCAAACAACACCAAATGAATCTAGTTCAATTTTTTTTATTCCAGTTTAATATTTCCAATAATGTATATAAATTATTTGTAAACAAGTTCAATGGCAACTGAATATGTCAATTTGAATTGCTTCATTCATTTCTCTTTTGTTGTTTTTTTCACAAACGGTTTATACAGGTTAGCCTGATACGTCAAAAAGATTATCATTCACTATCAAATATGGCTTTAGAAAGTACTGAAGAACTTCATGATAATTGGTATCTTGATAAATATGAACCAAGTGTTAATATGTCAACATATTTATTAGCATTTGTAGTTTCACAGTTCGCATCAATTCGTGGTATTGATTCTAAAGGAAGAAATGTATGTTGAAATTGAATATAATTTATTCATTTAACTCATTTATAATTTAAAACAATTCCATTAAAATTTGATAATCTTTTTAAATTTTTATTTATTATTCATAAAATTGAATGAATTTAGGAAGAATGATAATAGCCTAGAACTTACTTACTTACTTGCTTACATACTTACGTCTGTTACTACCGATGGAGCATAGGCCGCCGACCAGCAAACATTTCTGTTTTGTATCATTAGTATTCATTAGTATCATTTCGGATATATTTACGATTGTATAGCTTTGAAAATGAATTCGTCAAAAATGGAACTCACCGCTGAACCAATATTTAATAGTAGTCGAATTTATGAGTTAGTTGAAGCTAGATGACCATGGATAACATGGAATCACTCCAAGGCCGTTTCGTCCTATTGTGGGACTTCTCATCAACGAGCATCCACAATCCCGCTTAGCGGGATTCGAACCCAGGACCTATCGATCTCGCGCGCGAACGCTAAACATAGACCATTGAGCCGACATCCAACAGTGTTAATGTCTGACTTCAAATGATTCACGAAATTGCACCACACTACACCATTGTGATCAGTGAGTTACTGTCGCACAACAGACCTGGTTTAAACTCTACTGGTCACTGCTTCTCACTAGAACTCCAAAAATATATCTCTTGAAGCCAGTTACTAGTAAGCACATGATGATTATTATCAGATGATTTTGTGGAGAATTTAACTATTAAATTACTAAAATCTCCACAAAGCCCTCTTCTGACAATATTTCTTAGTTTATATCTCAATGAGTATATTCCGTTTACACAAAGTTACCCAATTATCCTCAGGATTGCTTTTATGTAGTACAATTCAACATTAATTCAAATTTACTTAGCTAATGGGTTGATCAAAAATTATTCATTGCCATGTAACTATAATTTTAAGTAAGAATATATTGGAACGTCCTTTTAATAAACTAAACTATATGCAAATGTAAATTATTATCGGTTACTGATAAAACTTTATGCCTATTGTCAGTTAATTGGATGATTCTATTTGGAATTGATGATGAGAATTTAAACGCACATAAATGAATAAATCATAAAGTTAGAGATCGGTTCCTAGAAACCGTATATTGGAATAATATATCTCATAATAACTAACAACAGAATTTCAGGATTAATATTCACTTACACGTGAATTCAAACATTAGTAATGATATAAACAAGAATTAGAAATTGGATTTACGATTTTTCATCGCGAACTGACAGCTGAAATGCCAAAACGCTATTTGGCCAAACGGGTGAGTGAATTTCACACCAAAACCCAAGAACTCTTATCTTAAACCTGATTGATTCGTCCATAAATTATAGCCTCTCCATGATAACTTCCTACTCGAAACGGATCGAAGGTAAAGGTTTTAATAGAATAACATGACTTCATTAGGTTTTTCACCAGGAGTTTAGAATCTATTATAATTTAATGTCCTAAATGACAACTTGCGTTTGGATACACTTATAGGTATGTAGTTCATCAAACGGTGAGCTGGACAAAAATCAGCATACTATAGCGCTATATATAAATGTATGTATAATCTTAAAGGATAAATTTTATTATGAAATATAGACGACGCATAAGGTTCTAAAACAAAATCATATAAGATGAGTAAAATCAAGAAAGTCTACTTAAGGTCAATGAAACATAAATACTTAGCGAACAAGTATAAAACTCATAAATTAACATTGCAGTAACGTAAACAAGTAAACTGAATTCTAAGGGATTTTGTTTAGGGAATAAAATATTGGGAATGAAATGTTCTAAGAATATATAAAGTCGATTTAAGAATGAGGGGGGTTTTTAGTAAGAAAAAAAACAAAAACAACAAAAACTCGAGATTGTTGTAACGGTTAGGTAAATCATTTGTTATTTTAAGGGAATGTGAATGAATAAAATTTATTATTTTATGATATACCTTATAAATTACCCTGAATTTAGTATATGACATAGTCTGTCATTTGAATGTTTAGTGATTTAAAAGCTAATCCTTCTCTCCTCATTATTTTTAAAACTATCATGTAACACACCTTTCCTTATACACAGCAAGCAAATATACGTTATACATAATCCTAGTTTTAATTTTCCACTGAAATGGGTGGATTGATAGGTGCGTGTATACTTAGTCAGATATATATGTATACAAAAAATAACTTAGAGTTTGTAGTACATTTGAACATGATAATTCATATCAGAATGTATCATGGTGTATGCTACTTATGTCTGTCGATATAAATAATGTGTAACACCAATCCAATGTGGAAAATTTAGCAGTAGGAAGTTGAGATGATCGAACCGAAGAAAATGGGGACATAGAAATTTGAAACAACTGATGAAGGATTTTCAAATGAAGTACTGAACGTGTACTTTTCATATTTGATAGAAGAACTCTGTAATCTAGTATTAAAATACATTAACTTTCCTCAACCTATCTTTTCATTCATTACAGTCTTATTATTTAATGAAAATTCTATGAATGAATTCACAGTTTTTCACACTTTATATGTATGAAAATTTCAGAATACTATTAATCTGTAATACTGTAGTGAAGGAGAACACAGGTGAGGACAACCGAATTATACTTTGCACAAAATTACAGAGTCACTTGATAAAATAGAAAAACCATACTATAATACTTAATTAGCAAAATATTCAATAATTATCTCGAACTTCATTGTTCTCGCATTTCCATACTAATTGCTTTCTATTCCTGCTCTTCCTTTCTTGATCTTCCCGATCTTCTGCTGCCAGACATTACATTCCTGACTCACGTCATATACTACTTATATCAACATAAGTAGCACGCACCACAGTATGTTTTATTCTAGAATTAGAAATAATGTATTTATTATAATTTTTTTGTAAACATTCAATTCATTCACATTAAAAAATGTTTAAAATATTTACTTCTATGAAGTAAAGTCATATTAAAAACAAAGTTTCTTTCATTTAAATTATATAACCTAATCTAACGTGTTGGAAATACAATACAATACAATACAATCAGGCAGATTGTAGTAAATAAATTACCATTGTAACTTTATAAACAAACAAATAAACAAATAAATAAATAAATAATTGTTTCCAATTAATATTCATTGTGTCTTGTTCTGTTTATGTAACTTTCTTTTTTTTTGAAAAAGATGGTTATTAATTACACATTTGTTGTTGTTGTTGTTGTGTTTTTCTTTTTCAAATATAAACAATAAAGTTTACTGTATGGACAAGATCAGATAAAATTAATTCAGCCAAATATGCTCTTGAAACAGGGAAGAAAATTATTGGATTTTTTGAAGAATATTTTGAACTTCCTTATCCACTTAGAAAAACAGGTCAGTGTTTTATAATTTTATACAGAATAGATGAAACATTTTTATAAGTAGTATATATAAGATCTGTTTCTGCTGAACAGTTTTAATATACTTGAATATTTATTGCATGTGATATTCTAATCATATTTTGTGGACGCCCGTTATTTAATCGTCATTTAGATCGAACGATGTTATCAAAAGGGCTCTCCACTTTAGTGGCTTGATTTTTGACTCCAAGATGATTGTAATGAATGTTTGTTATCATTTATCCTTGTATATAATCATCGACTTAAATCATGTTAGTCAATAACGGAATTAAGTAAGTAAATGACGAGAATGGACTTTTGAATACATATATTTTGAATATGACGCGAAATGAATGGAGAGAAGAGAAACGACGACCAGTGGAGATGGCGGGTAAGCCAACTCCCATTTAACTAAGCGTTAATCAATATGGTTACACAAAAGTAAGTTACAGACATGTGATGAGTAATGGGATAAGAAATGTACACACATACGCGCTCATATAAAAACAGTCAAGATTGATAAGCGAATAATTAACAAGTTCAGAATGTGACTCAAGTAGAATGAATAGAATGGGCTGTCTGAAAGCTATAATAAGGTATATGGGCTTGAAATAATAACCGACACTACACATACAGGAAATAGAGTATTAGCTGAAATTTCGCTTACACTGTCATTTATTATTATTAGTAAGGCTGGTTTATTCTTTGGAATATTCATATACAACGACAATCACTTCTATAAATCACATTCATATTATGATAAAAATCAAATGATTAATACCAAAATTTCACAAGTTGAAATCATGAGCCAATTGAAGCTACACCACCATGGAAAACCTGGAAGCACTGGACAGCCGTTTCGTCCTAGTACGGGACTCCTCAGCAGTGCGCATCCACGAACCCGCCCCCCGGTTTTGTATCAATAAAAAGATTTATTGTTTTCATGAAGTTAAATGACTGTGTGTTTATATAGTTCAATATAAATCCATTAATTTGAAATCCCACACTTCTAGTACACTTCAGTGACTAGAGTTTTAATGTGCTAGTTTTTATGAGTGAACTTATAGTGTACGGTAGTTTAACTGCCCTGAGGTAGATAACTTCATTACATCATTTTAAAGTGGAGCATTTTTTAACCTATTTATTTTTACATTTTCGTATTATCTCTATCTATTATATAACATTAACGACATTTCTTCTGTAGGCGTTGGTTGAGTAATATAGGCGAAAACCAATTAAACACTATACTAGATATGTAAAAATGATATTGAACGAAGTCAACGATAAAAGAGCCTATTTTTCACTTACTAAACGTTTACATAAATTATACTAGTAAATTTATCTTTTTCAACTTTAATTATCAGATATGGTAGCGGTGCCTGATTTTGCTGCTGGAGCAATGGAGAATTGGGGTCTTATGATATATAGAGAAGCAACAATGTTATGGGATCCTGAATTTGGAACAGCAGCTACTCAACAAAAAGTGGCGACGGTTATTTCACATGAAGTCGCTCATCAGGTAATGTATGACAAATAAACAGAAATTTGAACGTACCATTACAATAATTAATTTTAAAGAGAATATAAGAAGCTAAATAAAATATTATGTATATTATTTAAGAAATATATACAGATAATTAATCAATGATAATCTACGTTTTATTAAAAAGATGTCTGTAAATTAGTTGAGTATTATATTTGATAAGCATATGCTTCTTTCTACTACTACTACTGCTAATACTACTACTACTACTACCACTACTACTACTACTACTACTACTACTACTACTACTACTACAAAATATATTTTACCTTGCACCCAGATGATGGATATACCTATTGAATAATCTGTGTTTTATACAGTCCGTTTGTAGATGAATAGTAACCTACTATCACATGTTTTGCTTCATGTAAAAGCTTTGATGTCTACAGATATACTTAACTAGAATATTTTTACCAGTTGATTTACTTATACAAATATTGTCTTATTCTGATGTAGGTCATTTTGACAGTATTATACCGACATTTAGTTTATTTACTTATTTATAACATGAAGAGTAATCCTAGTTTTTTTTAAGTAACTTTACAAAATATACTTATCATCACTTTGATGTTTATACTTAGACGAACAAAACCAACAATTCAAACGAACAAAAAATTTCCTTATTTCAGTATATAAAGTAGACCAATGTCGTATTTATGAATAAAATAGTCAAATCTACAGAGTTTTTATTAATAGAATGATTAATTAGATATTTCTAAACAGCTGTTAAATTGTAGAATATGGATATATTTTTACATTTATATTTTTAGTGGTTTGGAAATTTAGTTACTTTGAATTGGTGGGACGATCTATGGTTAAATGAAGGTTTCGCAAGTTTCGCTGAATATATTGGAGTGGATCATGTTCATCCAGAATGGGGAATGGTATGTTGTATTTATTTTATACGAATTAATCATTGTTCAATAAATGCTTTCGTGTTTCTTAAGTCCTTGGTATAAAAAAGGGAATCGATCATGAAATAAAATTTTAAAAAATATCAACCCGAGTAGTTGATATATAATTGACATCATCAGTTGGTGTCATATTTTAGTTGATCTGTAGCCTTATTCTTCAGAGCTATTATGTTCAGTCAAATGTGGCAAACCGTTTTTTTTTATTGTATTTTAATGTTTTTGAGATCTTCAGCATTTTCATACTAATGTACAATCATTTAAAATTTATAACTATTTACATACTAAGGAATAAGTATTACAATTGTCAAATAAGAATAAAAGAAGTGAGCTGTCAACATTTTTATTAGAAAATTGTCATAGTAATCCGACTGAAGCGGTGAAAACTTACATCGTACACAGTAATTTGTTATCAACTCTGCATTGGGAGGTTAATTGAATTTAAAATGTACCCCAACGCACAAGCAGGTGGCTATCAGGACTCAGTAGCTAAGTGGATAATGCGATGGTATTTGAAGCAAACAGTAATGGGTGCGTGTCTCAGAGGGAACATCAAATCTGGGATATAAGTACATCCAACTAACGAGTACCAAAGAGAACAGAACACACGTCCTAGATTCCACCATTAGCCATTATCCATCTTTGTTTATAATCCTCGTGAACTAAGACAATATCGAGCCAGTCTGCACATGATGTACATATGCCAATGAGTGACTGATCAATTGCAGTGCTAAACATCAATGTGATGATTCAAGTCAACAATATCAATTGAGTTTGAAGTATTATTAAGTTGAAAAAAATGCTCACTGAAGCAATTAAATATTCTCTCTCCTTATAACAAACTGAAACTCATATCAACTTCCTGATGACACACTAAGATGTAAAGGAATACTAATCTATCTATCAAGTGAAGTTGATCGTAAGTAAAACAAGAATCCTAAGTGTTCAGTGATTCTGTAGATGATACACATCAATCGAATTTCCTTATTTAATTATAACATGGATTCTATTGAATATATTTAAAATAAACGAAAACTAGTAGACACCTATATTTATTCTGAGAAGTTATGCAATCTAGTTATTCAGAATATTTAAATACGTATCTTGAAAGAATGGACAATATCTAAATGAATGTCTTTCAGTTTATTGATAATGATATATTTAGTAAGCGATTGTAATTTACTTTATATTAAACATAAAGGATGAACAATTTCTTCTGGATGATATACAGAAAGTATTGGTTAGTGATTCGTTAGCGACATCTCGGCCAGTTATACAACCTGTTTACTATCCAAATGAAATCAATGAAATTTTCGATCCAATTTCTTATAATAAGGCAAGTTTTTCAATATTTTTTTATAAGAATAAAATCAGATTTATAAAATTTCGGTGATTTCCATACACCATTCATACTCACCAAGTAATCTAGTGGATGTTTCGTAATTTATGTATGCTAAAATCTACTTTGTTAAGGTGACTTGAAGTTTTGTGTTATTGTGAAATTTGTTTACTTAAATTTCTATCGTATGTTATAACAATTGTAAAGTAGTTGTCACTCTATATACTATTTATAATTAGTTGTTTTCAATCACCTGGTATACTTTCTTTCAGGGTGCGTCCGTTTTAAGAATGATGGAGTCATTTATGGGTCGAAACACATTTCGTGCAGGTGTAAAAGTATGTTGAAGTTAATTAACAATCCTCATTTATTTTTTCTTTCTAAAGTTCATTTTATTATAACATTATATGACACTTTAGTGATCGTATTTTAACAAACAGTATTAAATCTGCTTTAACGAATTGAGAACAATTGAGTAAACATTTTTTCGTTATACTGTTGATTAGAAGTATTAGAAGTATTTGAATGATTACACGAACTAGGAATCCCAGAAATAACGCAATTTAGACCAAAGATAACGAACGTATTATATTCGGAATTCAAAATCAGGCGGGCATTACGTACAAAGAAATAATTAATTCATATAAACACCACAATTCTCTAAAGTATTACAGTTTGCAATTGATCGATCACTGGGTGGCGATAAATGTCATGAATGTCATTTCCTTCTTAGTGTAGATCAAATTCTATTGACCAAGTCGCAATATGGCCACCAATCTAGGTGACTCCACATTTCATGTACCCCATAGGATTTCCTGTTAACTACCTCCAACCACCATCTTAAAGTATAACAGTGAATTACTAATACTTTCTCATTTCATTTGTAAACGACATTTATGAACACTTGCTTAAATAGACTAATAATTATCTTTAGTTAGTGGGTCATTCATGTTGGTAGTAGTAAAGTTATCTACTCATTCAGACAAATTTACCAAGATAATAAAATATTTAAATTAAAGGAAATAAGTTTCTTCATTGTTCTCAGCTTCTATTAATTTATACCTGAATGTGTATCAAGACGAAAGATTGTTCTAATTTCAGTTTCAATAAAACATTGTAATGATTTTCATAAATTTAGTCTATTAGGTATTAACTCATTCCATATACGTTATGATATAGTACAAACATATTCACTAACAAGACTCATTGAAGTGAAAGAAAAGGCTCTTCGGAAATGTTCATTTACCTCACTAAATAATCAATTCTTTCTTTTTATAACAATCAATAGTCTAAAATCTCATAGAAATGGTTTCAAGCTAAATGTGTACTGCATTTCAAAAATCATTATTACATTTTTTATATTCAGTAAATTCTTTGGTAAAATAAGATTTATCTGCAGGTGCTACTTATCCTTTTATCAGTAAAAGAAGAAAAACACAGCAATAATAGCCAGTGATTATTAAATTACCCATTTAATAACTGCTTTAATTTAACAATATGTAATTAGAATAATAAAATTCTAAGTTCTAAAAGCAAAGGAGATTTGTGGACATCGTTCGTTTTTTGGATTCGTACTATTCTCTAACGATGGCTAGATAACAATCGTAAACCTCGAAACATTAGACACCTGTTTTGTTTGAGCCTATGAACCATCTCAAATCTCATTCTTGACATTAAATGGTCAGACATCGGAACTTGAGGCTTCTCAATAAGCTATTAACATTCAGACGACCAAGTTTGTACCTGATGGTTTAAACTTCTAACTTCAATAATGATCGAAAATCACCCAGTGTCATTGAATGGAAACCTTTACATTATCGACTAGGTTGAATTTCAGTGATCACAGCAACTTACTAAAATTCAGGAAATTAATTCTCGAAATTCGATAGTGGTAAACAAATGTTTATTCTTAGTAAAGAGGCTTTCACACTATTGTGGAGTCCCATGTTACTAAGAAATAGCAATTCGAACCTGCAATTATTTAGTGATTTGAATTAAGAAGTGATGTACTTGTCCTAATGAGTAGTAGATTGAGTTTTGAATACTCTGCAACTTGGAACAAATCACTTCTTCAGCGATAAACTAACTTAAATGAACTAACGTTAAACAGGATAAGGGAATAAATCGTGTATTTAGCAAGAACACGTTTCGATTGAACAAAATGGGAATAGAAAGTAAGTTTACGCTAAAGTCTCACTAATGCTTATTTAATAACAATTAAATATCCAATATACTTTCCGTCAGACCATCCTAGGCAGAATTAAATAAGTAAACAATAGATTGTTATGAAATATAGACGTTCACTACAAAGGTCATCAGTTTCACATCCAAATATTCAGTACAACTGAAAAATGGTACAAAGTCTAGCCATAGTGAAAATGTTTTGAATCAGGTATATATATATATACTTACAAAAGTTTAGAATCCATATTCTCACATGAAGAAGAAATCAGTTTATCATCTATAACTGGTATCATGTAAAATTCAAAAGTAGTAATTTCCAACCATATAAAAGTCACGTCACAGAAATCGAGAAGTTTGTAATAACTTACGTAGAATTTACTGGAACAACAACGACCAAACATGATACACATACTCTTTGAAATACATTGATTTTGTCAATGAAGTATGCATTCTGTTTTCAAGGACAAATGGAATAGATAGTTGATAAACACAGATCATATGAAATATATCTGACAGTGAGGTATACATTGACAAAAATTCAATATTTCCATAGTCGAATTAGACTGTCATAACAAAACTGTCGCAAATGACCACAAACGTTTCAGACTATATAAGAGTTTCGAATACATTTTAATCTGTTTTATTGCTTTATAATACATCATAAACAGTTATAATCTCATTGATAAAATTCCTTATTATGTTTAAACACTAACACTGAAAAGTCCTAATCACGTTTTTGATTACTCCGTTTTGATAGTAAAAATATATTCAGAAATACCACACATTTTTCATGTATTTCCCATCTAAATATAGAATCAACAAATTCAGTCTTGATCTCTTGTTATTTCACAATTTCATACAAACTGTAAAATAAAATAGAAAGGTATTTAACGAAAAATCAGATCTCTTATCAAAAATATTTTTGACGGAAATCGTTAAAACCAATTATCAGATATGTGTGATCCATTCACCGTGAATTGAAAAACTATACTGCTGCTGCTGCTGATGCCGATGTTTCTGTTGATGATGCTTTTGGTTATTACAATTCATCTAAACATAATATTTCTTTGGTAACGATCACATCTATTCTCGTTTACAAATTGAGATCAGGTTTTAAATTCCAGCGGAAAATGAATTGCGTCAAACTTGCTTGATACAAAATACTTGAATTAAATGTTCAGAATATTTAAATTTCTTAAATAACTGATATTCAGAAAGAATGAAAAGTATATTGATAAATAGCTCTATCTTATAGCTTGAGTTGCTTACGAATATGATGAGCAATGATATATACAAATTTATCTAAACTGTAAAACAAAATAGAAAGGTATTTAACAAAAAATCAGATCTCTTATGAGAAATATTTTTGACGGAAATCTTTACAACCAATTACCAGATATATGTGATCCAGTCAACGTGAATTAAAAAACTATACTGCTGCTGCTGCCGATGTTGATGTTGATGATGATGATCAACTCATCAGTCATTACTCAGACCTTATTTGTTCGACAGAAATTAAAATGAAGTTTGTATGAAATTGTGAAATAACAAGAGATCAAGATTGAATTTGTTGATCCTATATTTAGATGAGAAATACTTGAAAAATGTGTGGAATTTCTGAATATATATACATTTATTTCACAGATTGAAATCATAAGTGAATTGAAGCTAGACCACCATAGAAAACCTGGAGGGGTCCCATACTAGGACAAAACGGCCGTCCAGTGCTTCTAGGTTTCCCATGGTGGTCTACCTTCAACTGACTCATGATTTCAATCTGTGAAATTTCAAAAATTTTCACAAACCACTTCTGATATATATAGCATATTTATGATGATTGTTTCTATGACATTATTTTTGTTACAGAATTATCTATATCAAAACAAATATAAAAATACTGTTCATGAAGATTTGTGGAGGGCGCTCACTGAGGTATGTCAGTGATTTTATTCACTATGGAATTTATTCTTTCGCCTAATAATAATATGATTGATAAATTTTGATCTCGTTGGATCACTTATGTCATTTATCTATACCGACTGAAATTTGATATTTCTTGTCAAGTTGCTTTACAACCTACTATATGTGAAAGTTGTGTTAATGATTTTCATACAATATGGCAAACTTTTCATATAACAATATACTTTATTTTCTTCTAGTGTATTACCGAATAATAAAAAGAAGTATGTTTACTGAGTGTCATTATTCTTATTCAGCTTAAATTAAGTCACATATACCAGTTTTATGATGATGATAACATCTTCTGTGTCACGTATACGGAAATTAGATTGGATGCGATAATATAGTTTACTATCAATCGGGTGTATGTTATATTTCATTTAGATACTAACTGATTTCTATTCGAGTTAACAGCTTCACCTTGTTAATTTGATTTACGCAAATCATCATTCACACTTATTATTTATAAGTGTAGACGGTTCTGATAAATAATTGGTGATAATTAAATTTACATCTTATTGTACTTAATGGTTTAAAAAACCGAGGTTTAAAAAAGGTGGTAGCTAAGCAGAATCACACTTGAGGTCATCGAACATGAGCAAAGCTGGGGAATGTAATTTATTTAAATATTTAATGTACGTGTTAATATGTAATGGTAAGCCATAGTTCTTGAAGAACTTTGTTATGGAGATTAAACGATTATGGAATTTTCCAGGGAGGTAATGAGTGGGTATATGATGATCATAATAAATAAAAGTGAAAGCACATTGGAAATTAAGCGTAATTAGAAAATGCTGATCATTTGAATGAGCGATGAGGATTGATAGTCTGACCTATAAAACCGAGAAGAATTTATAAGCATGCATTGTTACGAAATTCGAGTAACATATTTACGACTGAAAAAAATCTGGAACTCAAAACAACTGTTAACAAACAACAAATTCAGAATTCTCAATACAAATGTCAAGACAGTTCTCCTGTTTAGGGTGGAAACCTAGAGAACTACCACAACCATCATCCAGAAGATACAAGTGTTTATTAACAGTTGTCTACGCAAAATACTTTGGATCCGTTGGCCAGACACTATCAGCAACAACCTAATATGGGCGGGAGCAAAGCAGATCGCAGTGGATGAAGAAATCAAGAGGAAGCGCTGGATGTGGATAGGACACACATTGAGGAAAGCACCAAACTGCGTCACAAGGTAAGCCCTCACTTGGAATCCTGAAGGCAAAAGGATGAGAAGAAGACCAAAGAGCACATTACGTCGAGAAATGGAGACCGACATGAGAAGAATGAACGAAAACCGGATAGGACTGGGAAGGAATGCCGAGGACAGAGTTGGTTGGCGACCTATGCTCAATTAGGAGTAACAGGCGTAAGTAAGTAATTGTTGAGAAATTAACTGTCAGATCAACAGAACTACATAATTATCTGTGTTTTTCTGACTATTATGGTTTAGTGAAACACGGGAATGATCAGTTCATTAAAAATTATATTATTAAATGAAATAGTTTATATGTTTCATGGTGAATGGTTTGCATGTTCAGAAATAATTCCAACTACTGATCAATATTCATTACGTAGTTAACTTGAATTTCATTGAATATTGAAGCTACTTTAGGTAGTACAGTTATTATTCGGGGTTGGGAATAAATACGTGTTTATACTAGAATTGAAGTATCTAGTATATCACTTGTGCAAATCATATTTCAAGTAATCTTAGGAGTTGAAATTCAAACAATTCCATTATTTCGTTCAGCATTGTTATCTGAAATTCTTTAGGGCAATAAACAAAATTAAAATTTCAATAGTTGAGATCATGAGTCAGTTGAAGCTAGACCACCATGGGATACCTGGAAGCACTGGTGAGCCGTTCCGTCCTACCGTGAGACTTCTAAGTAGTAAACACTCTTGGAGTTCCAATAAGAAGCAGTGACTAGTGGAGTTCAGCCGGATCTGTTGTGAGATAGTAACTCACTGAAAACAATAGTGAATGTGTCGCTGAATTTCGTGGATCAGTTGAAGTTAGACATTAACACGATTGGATGCCGGCTCAATGGTCTAGAGGTTAGGCATCCATGCGCAAGACCGGTAGATTATGGGTTACCGTCTCGCGAGGTGGGATCGTTGGTGTGCAATGCCGAGGAGTCCCATCCTAGGACAAAACTATCTTGGAGTGCTTCCAGGTTTTCCATCAATGTCTGACTTCAAATGAATCATGATCTCAACCAATAAAGTTAGAATTGTCAAAGAATTTATAATCTTTAATAATTAGATCTATATTGAAAACGTATTCATTTTTTTATTAGAAAAGTATGAGTCGATAAAATGTGAACAATGTGTAAAAGAATGTATGTATACTTATATGTTATTAGTAGTCAAAATTTGGAGAATAAATACAATCTCCGTCGGCCATCAAAGATATTGTATTATAACAATGCCGAAATATTCTACCACTGTCAGTGTTATTTTCATTGAATATTTATTCTAAAATATTACTGAAATATTTATTTCAATTTCAGGCAGCAAAACGTGCAGGTAAAGATGTGAATGTTAAAGCCGTAATGGATACGTGGATGAAACAAATGAATTACCCATTAGTAATCATTCAAAGAAATGCTGATGGCCAATTTCAATTTGTACAAAAACATTACTTAGAGCCACAGGATGCTAAATCGCCAAAAAATCCTTCACCATACAAGTAGGTTGAATAATATCCTGTATTCTAACTATTGTTTTACCACTAAAGGATATTTGTGTCTTTAAGGAGTAAAAGTAGTGGGAAGACTTATTCCAATTAGCCCTATTTGAACTATTCTGTTATATTTTACCCGCCAGTGAATCATTGCCCAGAATTGTTTTTAAAACAATCAATAACCCGATGGACAGTATTCAACTTTGTGAAACTAGTGTTTTACAGATTGATTAGTGTTTGAATGCTGTTATTCTTGTATAACTACTAATAGTCACACTGGCCACCTTGATATTATTTTATGGTATGATTGATTAGTAAGTTTTGTTGCCAGGCAAAACATTGCTAAACAACACGACTCGATGAAATAGAACGAACCAAATTTCATAAGCCTGCATTTATCATTATTTATTGCCATATTCGTTTATCTTAAGATATTTTGTAAAGGTTTTTTCTTCTCCGAATCAGATTAGTTTGTAATCGCAGAAACAATCATTTGTGATTCATTAGTTGCTTAGTTCGTTTATCTAAATGGTTTACAATTTTACGAGATAATATGATTTATACTATTAGTCATTTTTATTATGTACATTATGTTTATTAGATCATTAGTTATGTTAAGCACAATGCATTTTCTTAGTATTACAAGTGTTATAATGAGTAATAAATCCCCAGTTTCCTATTTCAATCGATAGCAAACGATTAGAATATAGTTGTATGTTTCCAAGTGTTACCCAATTTACGCTGACTTGTTATTACATCAACAACTATAATAGTAATAATAATGATAGTGAAACAAAAAGTTGTTTTAAATGTAATATTTTTACTAGTATTAAGTTGGGAGAGTAGTATTGTTAATGTTAGAGTTAGTGTTCACTATCTTTCTCTAATATATTAATTGTTAACTTGGATTTTCCAGAAATGTCATGTGTTACCAACCATTCTTTACTACTACTATTAATCAATCTAACATTTAAAAACTAAGTAGAGTTTTATTAGACATTGAAAAAAGTCAACATAATTTTGTTCTATTGAACATATATCCCTAATACATACACTGTTTATTCTGAAGTTTGATAAAACCAATAGCATTCAGTAGAAAATAGTTTCAGCTAATTCATTCGCTTAATCCATATTGAAGTCTACTAAAAACAATATTAAAAGTGTTTTAGAGAAAGAAGTCGGATTAATAGACTTTCAGCCTGTTTGTTTATGCACGTACTAAGGAAGGATAGCCTACAGTGTGGTTTAAAATGATGTTAGGAACTTGAAGATTTGGTATTACAATATTTGTCTGAACATGTGACATAAGACGCAAAACAGTACTTTAAGCTTATTCGTTTATATATATTGATATAGATATATACATATTGCTGAACGTAAGTACATTCATAGAGAACTCATATGTTTTATATGATTAAGGAGTGTTAAATTTCAATTGTTCATAGACATATTATATCTCTGTAGTAGTTTCAGTAAGTGAATGGTATTTTTCAATTCTGATAATCGTATCAGGTGAACAGGAGACCCTTTAATAGTAGAACAATTAAATTTGTTTAAAATTACAAATGATTTTATTGCATAATAAGTAGTAACACTTCTAAATATCACAAGAACACGGGGATCATTTGATTTATGTTTACTTTGATATAATTAATGAATCTACTCATATATAGAAAGCTATAAACAAAGCTTTCCTAATTCAAACAAGCAATACTTGTTACCTATCTAAATAAATGAAGTACAATAATATGTCATATGATTATGTTGTAAACTGGTTTTATTGTATTTCTTCATTAGAATGATTTAAAAGTTTTAAAGCATTTCTTATACTGTTCTAATTTAAATTATATTGTATGTTTAGAATCGATGGATTGTGGCTAGAAGTGAAATCTAGCATGCAACCTTCGTCCTATTTGGGATTCATCAGCTAGATTCATTTTAAATAACTTGTGACATAATGGCTATATCAACCAATATGATATATGGTTAGTATACGTATGTACGTACTCGAGTATCATGAAATAAATTACATGTAATGATCTAAAGACTATCGAATGCCTGATACGAAGTCTGAAGTCATGTTCATAGTCAATATACTTTAATATTCAGTACTATTAACCTGATTAAATAGCCTGCAAGTGATTAATTGAGTAATTTTCGGAGTAAAACTTATCATGAATACAAAACATTTCTATCGTTTACTTTAGTGGTTTTGTAGTGATCAAAGGTCCAGGTGAGAAAGATCAATTTATAATTGAATACAAAATTACAAAATATCTTGGTAAAATATGAAAACCATCAATCAAATACATGATTGACACATCCTCCATCAGTTGTCCTTTACATGCTTTATGAATATTTCAATTCCGTTGTTATAATAATCGTTTTCTTTTTTCCCTTTCTGTTTTCTTCAATTGAATCTCCCCAGTGTTCTGCTGGCATGCATTCCACTTCCGATTGGTGCTACATGCTACTTATATACATAAATAGTATACACCACAGTTTAATCCATCTATCTATACAACCATTAAGCACTCATAGTAATGATTTAGAAAAAAATACTTATGTAAAATCAACTTAATTTACTTGATCCTTTTACTTTTAGCTTTACTTGGAAAATACCATTGACTTATGGATCAGCAAAGACTATTAACTGGGATGAAACAGATGTCATTTGGATGATGAACAGCAAGTCATTGTTTTCTTTACCTCGTTTTTGTATATATTTACTTATTATAAGTACTAATTGATAATTGTACTGTAGTAATATATATTAATGAATTAAATATGGGTAGGTGGAATAACCTAGGAAGTTAAGTATTGTAAATTAGATGATTGGAAATACCAATCATAGTAATATAATGAATGTTTCTAGAATCTTGATCATGAATCATAACTATGAAAAATAGTTAGTTCACGGAAGCTATGTACATAAGTGGTCAAATTGACACTGAATATTAAATTAATTTAAGCCATAAATGAACGTTAAGTGGATTTAGTTAATATCATGTAATACAAAGTTATTCTTTATAACGCTTATTTAACTATAGTAGAATTGTAAATAAAAATAATGTTTGTAGTATCCCAATGAGTAGAACTAAAATAGATTTTTCGACGTTTCGTGACTTAGTGTAGGTCACTTCTTCAGAGAATAAATAATAGTAAAATTGTATCACTTGTAAACCAGTTAAATATATTGTTAATGTGAATGATGTTTGCCAATTTTTTTTAACATAAAGAAAGTATTTACTCAAACCAATCAATAATGATAACTAAGTAAGATGTCTAAACTAGATATTATGATTGAACTACTTCAGTTAAAAGATTTCTTGAGTATAGTAGCAATTCTTTATGTCGAGTAAGATGAGTGATTTTTCTTTGCTGTACTGAAGAATTAATAATCTAAATCTTTATATTGTAGGCATAGACATTTGATGAAATAACAATTTTTATTAGATATTTTACATACACTGCCATTATAGATTCTATTGTAATATGTGGATTAGATATTGAAAATCGAATTTCGGGTAAATTTTGGTAATAAGCGAACATTATTGGTTGGAAACACAATTGTATGAACGTAGAATATTCTTTTCAATAATTTCCCATCAGGTTCTACAATAATGAATCCAAATTAATAGTCCATAAAATTGGCCAAATTGCGGGCAGTGTACATCATTTAAAATTGTAACATGTGGGCCAAGAATTGTTTGTTATATAAAATCAAGTCAAATCGTTAATGTTGGGATGACTAATATGAGGTTGTTGACTTGAATCAGCTTATAAGTGAAACGCAACTGTAAGATAAATGATCAGAATAAATATGATCAACATGAGGTGAGAGAGAAAATAATGGAATAAGAATCAGAAATTGCTTAATATGTAGATAGGGGTGGATGCTGGATATATATCTCAAAAAGGTTATCAGTTGTAATAAATTTGGAAAGAGGAAAGAGAGACGAAGATTCAGAAGATACGAATTCGGGAGAACACAGATAGTAGATGCACCTGCGCCATTGCTAACGATTTTGAGCCATGTCATTCAGGGTCTCTGACCATCGGTTGCTATCGTCTCGCGAACCCCAACCAGGTAGTCCACACCTACCAATATGACTCAAACTACTTGTCAGTGACTTCATGGACTTGAGCCATGTTTTGGTCTGGCCGCCCCTATCTTTCTTCCAATCTACTCCTATACCACTGAACATAGCACGTCGAGGCAGTCGGTCGTTGGACCTACGCAACATGTGTCCCAGCCATCTCAACTGATAAAGTCTCACTACCTCGTCAATTGATTTGCCATCCTTACCTAGTACCAGTTTCCTAACAACTGCATTACTTACTCGGTGGTCCCAGGATATACGAGCAATGTTTCGAAAACACCTATGGTCGAATACTAGTAACCTACGAATATCCTCTACTCTTACCGGCCATGTTTCACAACCATAAGGTAGGACGGAACGAACTGCTGTGCAGTAAACTCATTCCTTGTTTGGTAGACGGATATCTTGCCTACGCTATAAATGACGCAAGTTGGTAAAAGCTAGTCGAGCCTTCTGTATCCGTGTTGAGATTTTGTCACACACCAGACCACAAAGACTGATAAGACTCCCAAGATAAGTGAAGCGGTCGACACGCTCAACTACTTCTCTCCCTATCATTAGTTCAAGTGCCGATGCAACCCAATCCTAAAACAACATTTCGCATTTCGAGTGGGAGAATCGTATCCCGAACATGCTTGCATTTTTGCTTACGGTGGTCAGAAGAGTCTGTATTTTGACAGCATGTTCGCAAAATACCATGGAACCGAGGATCCTAGGGTTTCATAGCGAGAGCATTTACTTAGTGAAATCCATCGAATTTAATAGTGAAACACATATATCTCATGCAGTTGAATAGCAGGCATATAGTATTTTTGATTGGTTGAAAGTGAAAATGTGAACTGATAGATTTCACCTCAATGGTCTACGGATTTCTTAATGAGGCTGAGATGTAAAAGTTTTCGGCATTCCATCATATAGCGTCATGGGCAACAAGTGCTGAGAAGTTTGGAACTAGGATAAAATATCCATGAAGTCCTCTGTTGTTTGAAATGGCTCTCAGATTATGTTGATTTAGTTTAGTATATTTAATTGAACGTTGAACCTTCGTAGATTTGGATCATGTTAAATTATTTATTTGGTTTTCCATTCACCGATGATAATACATTAACCTCTTTTCCTTCTTATGCGATGATGTTCACTTAGGAACATATACATTCAGCAATTTCATAGCATTTCCACAAATATTTACTTTAATTTCAACAGAGACAATGACCCAAACACTAGATGTTGCAGAAAATTCTTGGTATTTATTCAACATTAAACAAGCTGGATTTTATCGTGTTCATTATGCCGACAATAACTGGGAACTATTGACGGAACAGTTGTATAAAGACCACCGTGTAAGTAGTAACCGTTATTTGAAAAATTCTTAAGATTAACCACTTTCAAGGTCTATACAAAGATAATTACTTTGATAAACTAGCGTATGATTGTGGATTATCTGTTAACAGTTTATCCAATTGAACTCGTATAGACGTCACAATAATTATAATGATTTAGACTTAATAACATTTTATTTGTAGCAAAGTAATATTTGAAATCGTTTTAGCCACATAGTGAACAATCATTTTTATTCTTATTGAGATCGTGAATCAACCAAAGTTAGACCATTATTGAAAACCTGAAAGCACTAGACTACCGTTTTCTAATATTATTGAACAAATTAGTAGTCCACATGTACGATCCCGCACGTGAGACCCGAACCCAGAATCTTCGTTCTCGAGGGAATGCTTAACCTCTAGACTACTAAGGTGGCATCCAACGATGTTAATATCTAACTTGAACCAATTCACAGTAACATCGACCGATTCATGGTCACAATAAAAATTTAACAGTCTCCACAACTTTACTGATCATCACTTTGTATTTACTAAATAAAAAATTAATTGATTCGATATTTTCTATGATTAGGCTATTCCACTTCATTCAAGAACACAAATTTTGGATGACTTATTCAACTTAGCAAAGTAAGTGTACTTACCTATATTTATTGTTTGACATAATATTATATGGTATCCATTTGATTGAAATTAAAATTTTATTATTTACATATTTAAATGAACAGTTTCTTGTTACACGATCTTTGAAGATATAAATCTATAAAACGTTTTATTGTGTTGGCCAGGAACTTCATATTAAATACATTAAAGGTATAATTGAATTGAATATATGCGTGGATAAGTTAAGTAGTTTCCGAATTCAACAGGTGTGAAATATAAATAACAGATAATACTAACATAAGGAATGTTTGAGAATATATTTTCAGCAACCTTCTCTGTAACCAAATATTGTATTGCACTTGTCGTTATTAAACTAACAGTAAGTTTCAACTGATACATTGAAAACAATAGATATCTAACACGAATCCCTACAAGATCACTTACCATAATAATACTTCAGAGAAATTCTATAAGGTGATGATTAAAACAGTATGATCATGATACAAAAATGGAAAAATTCTATCGGAGCTGTTTTGATAATAACAATAATTGTATAATGTTAAATTAAAATTATTCATCAGAAGGAACAGCTAGGATTAATATAAAATAATGAGTTCGTATCACTCAAGTGAACCAAAGAGTTTAGATTAGGGATACTGGTACAGTCAGAAAAGTGCCTCAAAGATAAGAGGTGTGAAAAAGTGACTGTTTTCGGACTTACAAGGAAGATTTCTTTGAATTTATTCTCATCTTCTTCAAATACTGTTGCATATAAAAGGCTTTGTCGTCTCTTCTTAGATAAACTATTAGTAACTTGATTTTAAATGGATAATGCTTTATGATGTTTACTGTTTAATGAACGAGAAGTGATTAAGGCTATATTTGTTGAACTATTATGAGTATAATGATAACAAGGTGAAGTAAATTTACTAAACTCTATTTGTGCATTGTTGACCGACTTGCACATCATTTACAAATGTCCACTGACCGTTTGTGTTTTCAATATAGTGACAGAAAACAATTCTTTTGTTTATTTATCACTGTCGTGCAATTTATCCACTGTGAATTAGATTGTTGCTACCTTGTTACAAACCACAATTTTCATCATAAAACTAACAGCTAACACTTATCAACATTGGATGATTCTTCTGATTCAATAATTTGAAATTACTTTTTAATGTTTTTAAATGAAGATTTTATATTGTTCACAGGTTCTGTAAAAGTTAGAAGTTCATTAACAGTTCTGTTAAAATTGTTTTTGTTTTGTTTGAGTTACTTATGGTTCAGTATGATACCTGTTAAATTACTACAATAATAAATTAAACTAACCAGGTTCTAGTCGTATATAAGGAGTGAACTTGTGTTCATTTTTCTTGGTAAGCGGTAAATAGTAAACAATAATTTCATAACAAAAATGTAACGACTACTTTCAATCAGAATTAATCGCTAATAAAATAGAAACCAATGGAAATTCGTTGGAACCATCCGGTTAGTAATTAAAGTCCACATGTGTACAAAATTTACTTCTATACATGTTAAATTGTATGGCATAATTAAACTGTATTGAGTTGACCTAAACAGGAAAACCAGTTAGAATTAATTAATTGATCGACATGAATATAATTAGTGGTTGCAAGAGTTTTCTACCGTAGGGTTTCATTGATGAATGACCTAACAAAGATTTATATTACCTATTTCGTTTGCAAGTGTATCATCAGTACAAAATTATACTTCAATTATGTGAATTTACCATGTATACGATTTTTCTAAAATCTACCTTTTCTCATTATTAAATATTTAAAGTCGCGCTACTGTTTCATACGATGTCTACTTAAATCTGACAAAATATTTGAAAAAAGAAGATCAGTATGTTGTATGGGAAACGACTCGACGAGCACTATCTTATTTAGACCGTATGCTTGCCATGGACGAGAGTTATGGAGCTTTTCAAGCATATTTGCGTACGCTTGTAGATGATCCTCTTAAATCAGTGGACTGGACAACAATGAAAGAAGATAAAGATCATATGAAGCAGTAGGTTACGTAAATGTTTTTAAACTGTGTTCTGTATGCATTTCATTAGATGATAACCACCTAGAGCCTATGAAAATATGTTGTCTAGTGCAAACGAATATTATTTATTCTGATTTAGTGGAGTATGTTGGATACAGAATCCATAGAATGAGAGAAGTTGGTGAGACTAGAGTTTATGGACAGCCTTATAACGACTCTAACATGACCTTGGAATGTCTACTTACTTACTTGGGTTAAATAGAGCTTATACATTAGTGTGAGGAATTAGAATTAGGATTTACATTTAGATGTTCTCGTTAGGAATTCGACTTAACCTTTTCATCACTAACCGACATGAGCTATAATACCAAACTCGTTCAAGCCAAATGAGTGAATGAATTTCGCGCCAAAATTTAACATGTGTTATCTTAAATCTGGTTCATCCAAATATTATAGTCTCGCCGGACAAATAACCATATTATCACTATTATCATATTAAACATATTCGTTCAGTGTTCATAATTCTGACATGGAGTTACCTTCAACCACGTAAGGGGTGTTTTTATATCGATATGTAATCATATTTATACTTGCCTGTACACTTTCCCATTTGTATTTAAAAACTATTCTGTGTGATGATACTGGTTTCATGATTTGATTTGTCTCATGAACAAAACAATGTAAGTTTACTTATTTGTCTCTCAATGAATGAAGTATTTCTTTAGGGCTAAATATCTTAGGATATATTTGGAAAAGAGGATTTTAAAGAAACTTGTCAGGTTTGCAATCTTAGCTTGCTTATTATAAATTGTACAAGCCTGACCCAATAAAAATAGTTGAGATAAAATATTCAGCTCATTATGAAGGTAGACAGCCTATATTGTAAATTTAATTCTATGGCAGTCTCGTACAAGCTTTTCAAGGAAATATAATCTAACATCAAAATTATCGAACATGGCCATACCAGTTGTATATTTGGTTCTCTGATTAACTGTATACTAATTAGGTCATCCAATCAACCTTATACAACCTTATGAGTAGGTATTCGCGTTAGTGTGTAAGAGACATGTGATGTGAGATGAAAAGTGTGTCAAGATAACACATTGTGTGTATTCGTAAATGGTGTGAGAAGAAATTTCACTCAATATTTACCGCCTCTGATCGGTGAAAATTGAGAAAACATACAATTTTCTTATATTATATGAATCCAATGTCACATCATTCATAAAATGAAGATAAATAAGCAAAATAAAGGGATGAGTGTTTATGTTAGTTTTATTATTCCAGTTAATTGTTTATTATATTCAGATTAGACAACTGATTAGAACAATTGAATGTAATTATTGTTGAAACTTCATTTATTTCACCGGTTGTGCTTGTTTTTTATTTAAGTATGTTGCGCCTGACATTAACTCGTCTAGCATGTCAAGCTGAACATCATTCATGCGTTAAAATGGCTACAGAATATTACAGAAATTGGATGCTTAATCCTTCACAAAATTTGTAAGTTACCTATTGAACTGTTATGATTTTGAAATAATTACTAAGTGAAATTTAGAAAAATTACATTCTTAGACATGTCCTGCCTTGGATCTATTAAATGCAAGGTACTGGCGACCAACAAGTTGTAAATCATTCACTTGTATTGACTGGTCCATATCTATGGAATTTGTATATCAGTTGTTAACTTGTGGACTGCTTCAAATAACTTAATTATTTTGTTCAGTTTTATTTCCGCCTTGAACGAATAAAGTTCTTTTTATAATAAAATTTGTGATATTGTTTACTCTACATATAGTACTGTCCATTATCCTCTAATTTTTCATCCGTTTTATGTTTAAGGATTCCACCAAGTTTGAGGCCAGCTGTTTATTGCACAGCAATAAGAATCGGTGGACAAAAAGAATGGGAGTTCCTAAAACAACGTTTATTAGAAGTGGATATCAAAGAGGATGAGAAAAATAGTATTTTACAGGCATTGTCTTGTTCACGTGATATGTGGATAGTAAGACTGTGAGTTATATTACATTTCATTTGTTGTTGCTTTCGATTGTCAGCTTCTAATAAATTAAATAAATGGTTCCTGTTCTAGTACAATATATGTAAACATATATGAGTCAATAAAATACATGGATTGTTTCGTGATATATTGACTGTCTAATACATATTTCGTGCTGTTTTACCTATATGATCATTAAACTATCAGTAATTTTCACCATATATATCTCTCAATATCGTTTGATCATTCATAGTTTTGTGTTTATGTAATTTAGTTCATCGGTTTTAGTAATCGCTGTTTTTTCAGGTGCTTTGATGGTACGTCGGAAGACGCTTTCATTATATGAGTTTTAATGTTCTATGAGTAATCAATTGGTTAATGTTAGCTTTCTGTCATCAGACCACTCAGTCAGCATTCATTAATCCAGCTAACGAGTTTGCTTCTAATATTGAAATTTATATATGTCACCGATATGGGGTATTATGGGTTAAAATTACATGTAATGAAGCAAACTAATATTTAAAGAATGTTTAGTGTATGATCATATTGAAATAGCAACGTCGTAACAATAACCACTAGTTATGAGATATGTCCTTTCATTTAGCCTAACAAAGTTCGCAGTTCAAATAACAAGAGAAAATGACAAAAAATGATTTATAAACTGTGTGTGATTTCAATCTGACACGACATTTATCGACAAACCGAACAAAATTTGAATACCAGTATAGGATTGTGGAGATTGTTGAGTTTTGCCTAATTGACATCATGAAATGATCAATGTTAGGCTACCGTTGAATACATGGAAGTACTGGACGTCTGTTTCGTCCAAGTTTGGAACTCCTCATCAGTTCACTGTCCAGTTCGTCGAAGCTTTCAATGGTTGTTTGATATTGATCAGTTCATGCTTCAAATCAAAAAAATTTGAATAACCATTTTGCTTAAATAATAATAAAATATTTGTATCTCTTTCAAATATTCGATTACCTACTTCGCTTAGTTCCTATTACCTGAATAATTCAAAATTAAATACAAATAAATACTTTTGTTGAAATCGACTAATACTTTTAATGTTATCAATAATTTAGACATCTGGAATGGGTCATAAAAAATAATCAAAAGGATCCTCAGGATTTGTTGGATGCACTTTCATCTGTGGCATTGTATCCTATCGGCCAGACACTTCTATGGGAACATATTCGTGAAGCGTGGAGATTTATAATGGATGAGTAAGAATTAGTGTAGATTAATGAATGTTCTTTAATATTTTAAATGAAAATCATTTCACCTACTTCATTAGTAATAACAGTATTAGTTTAACTATTATTTAAGCTTGGATACTGCGATAAGATGATGAACGTTCTCAGAATTATGTGATATATTTGCACAACACATTTCGAGCACAAAACGGTGGCTTCAGTTTTCGTATAGTTATCACTTCGATAAACCTTAGTATATTCTCTTGAACACTTCTGGACAACACTACAAACGCTGACTTGATATTCCTAGTGGAGGAAGATATTTGTCTTTTCTGTGATCTTGTCCGATGCTTGGGATTCATTCGATTTCATAGCCAACTAGTTGTATACATCAACCCTTACCAGCAGATCGAGATTATTTCTCGTATTTATGTGTTTCAGCACATACATGTAAACTGATAGATGGAATGGGTTGTGGTACAATTAGTCACATGCTTTTTGAGTATTTTATGAAACATAGACCTAGAATTTTTGATGTTGATGAGTCCTACCATAAGACCATATGAGTTACATCTTAATGGTGTAGTAATATAGACTCGCTTCTTGGATGCCGAGAACTTAGTAGTTCTTATTACATCTTTGCTCTACCAACGCTTTATAAACTCAAATTAGTAACTGTCATTCATCAGTGCTTCAGTAAAGACATTTACTTGTCTCTCTCAACTGCATCATTATTGCAAATTCGATAGATTCTTCTGAATAACCTTCTTGTTAATGCACGTTTGTACTGGATTGAACATTGATTATAAAAGTTAGATTCTATATACAGTTAATACAATTTCATGATACACGAAAAACTAAATAAATGTAGCTGCAGATTTAGATCATTTTTCCCATAGAGAATAACTCATATATGGTTTCGCAACGTTCTACTGAGAAGCCGTACTCGGTGGATTTCAGTCACATTACGAGTGAAGCAAATATTACCAATGAAATTGGATGATCGAAAATGGATATCGAAAATGAAGTGAAATTAATTTGCAGACCACAATTTCACACTCAGTAGTCTGAAAGTATCGTGTTTACCAAGAGATCTAAAACATTTGTGTTAGATATTATCCAGAGTTGTTCCTGTGTAGTTCTGAATAATCCCAAACAAGCAAGAAGCAAGTGTTTAAGGCCTTCATTATTTTGATATTCATCGTCTAGACCGTGATAAGTCTAATTCCTATTAGTCGAATATTTTCAAAGTCCAAGTAATATATAGCTAATACATCGTTATTTTTCAAGAGAAAATGTATGGGTAAACCAAGCTTAAAATGATTGGTCTACCTTATTATCTCAGAAATAGTAAATAGTTATGGCAAATATCAGATTTACTCATTTAGAAATTTTCAATGTAAGACAAATCAAAATGTCATTAACATTTTCAATTGTTTTCAGAGGGAGAAACGCAACTCGCCCAACTGCTAAAGCGTAAGTTTCATTGCTTACCTCAGTTACAGAATGCTTTCTTATTGCGTTGTACTTCGCATGTCCACAATTTTCATTCAGTTATTACTTTTGTATTCACTTGACTACTTCCAAATTGCTAAGTAGTATACTCAATAGTTTTTCATTTGTGATTATTGGCTCAGATTTCCAAAGCATCCATTATTTCACATTACATACTGAATAATCCTACTTGACCACTTTTTCTACGTGTCATAAATCTGATAATTCTCTACATCAGATTTAAACTATGATGGCTGTTAATGTTTTAAAATAATTAACAATCTAATTTTCCTGAATAAATTTGTTGGTAATCGGATGTTGAAGATAGGAGACGTTGGTTGTTCTTAGTTTCTGAAATAACCAGAAGAATTCGCAAAATTGAAATCTTTATTTGGCGGTTGTTGGTTCACAATCCAGTTTGTTCTACTGAAGCCTTTCTAATGTGCAATAAATTTTAACTGGCAATCGGTAACTTCTTCATTTTCTCTAGAGGACATTTTTTCAATTTTCGAATCGATTAAGGTTGAATTTTATATTTGTGAAGACAAAGTGTTTTGTAGAGAAACATTTAGATGAATGAATTGTATGCATCAGTCTATTAAATAAATAAAAAGTTTAACCTCATTCCGATTTCAATAACGAAATCGAAATTTACATCGCTATTTATTGAAGAGTGGTAACATGGTTCAATAAATGAAGGTTACGTAGTGTAAAAGTGTTGGTGACTAAATATTTCTATTCTGTGTTTCACTTATGTTTTACTATATTTATGTTTCTGTGATCACCGATTTAGTATAAGTTTTACTTCGATGTCACACAATGTATCGCAGCATCTCGTCTCATTTGACTGAACGAGGCACGGTCAATAAATTCTTTGTATGCCCACTCTATTGCATTGTGACATAAATAAGATTGGTTCTTTTAAAGTTAGTATTTGCATTCACCTCTAACATAATTGAGATGCTTTCGAAGATGTGTGACGAAACTAAATCGATATTATCAGACAAGATGCATATAGTCATCATTTAATATTACAGTGGTAATTAACACCAGACGCATACCTCAAACATCAACTACATTAAACGCATAATCATATCTTTTTCTTACCATGTGGCCACGTAACAGCATTTGATCTATCTGAACGTCTACTAACATCTGATTGGTTAGGTTAATGTAATATACCGTCTCTAGAATTAGAAAAGAAATATTTTCGTTCATGTCAGTCAAGAAGTGGAGACATAATCAGATTGTCATGTCGTCAAGTGTTGACATTTTGATTTTTCTAAGCATAATGTTAAATTCGCTAGCTGTTCTACTTCACATTTTTTCCATACAAAACAATAAGCATTAATACCTTAGAAATATATGGAGTCGGCACACTCCACATCTTCTATGTTGTCTGAAATGTTTAAAATAATGCTCAGCATTTTCATTACCTTCATTTGAGTGATAAATATTCATTTTTAAGACAGACTCTTATCTCCCCATTAGACGAAACAGACTAGAGGTTGACTGCCTCACAATTTTTACAAAATCACATTCGATTTCTAGTTACTGAAAATGCACTAAGAGGGGTCTAACTGTTTGTGGAATAAAAATCTAAATTTAATTACACGTAATATAGATAGTCAATAAAATTAAGACTAGTTTGTACTACTCCATCTTATTTAGCGCTTCATCTGATGATCTCAATGACATTTGCAAGTATCACCAAACCGCAAACTTTGGGCGTCATAATGAGTAAGTAATACAATTGGTTTGCACAAAAACACTTGAAATTATTCCTTCCATCAACATTTGTTTCATATTTGGACTATCCAGTTTACCTTCGTAGATAATATCACATTAATATTAATGATTACAGAGGGTCACATGAGAATTTGGCAACAAATATTATTCGTTATATTAGAATCGTAATAAGGAAGTAAATAACATTGTTCCCATTGGATTAACAATAAAAGTTATTGATTTGCAAAAATCGAATCTAGAGTTCCTTCATATCGGTATTCTGTTTTCACTTTCATACATGTATGGAGTTAACACGCTGACACAAGTATAGATAAACACAGCATGGTTAACTCAAATGGCTGTTTCTGTACACAGTAAACTAAAAGTACCTAATAAAGTTAAAAATAGAAGAGTGGAAAATGACATTTTGCTTAATGAATTTAACCGTCGAATCCATAATATATTTTCTAATGTCAACGAAGAATTGATACTCAATCTGAAAGGCATATAGGTATTAAGATTTCGCTGACACATTTTGAATCCATAGGGTGTATAATAAGTATCTATGATTAGCATAGATCATGGTCTATTTGGAACAGAAGGAAACCTAAGTAGTGACTGCATTCTGTCAGTAATATAGGGAACAAGGTTTGCCAAATTCTAGAATTTCCATCATCCAAATACTGTTTATCTGTCACTCTATTTCATATATCTTGGTAGGTAGTATTGGTTCTACAATACAAATATATTAGGTAGAATAACTTTGATATATATTTCGGAGTTCGTCTGCTTTTACAAGAAAGCATAGTTTAGATATGATATATATGTATATATACCCGAGCAAACCAATTATTCACTTCTGCATTGTTCAAGTAGTTTATGTATGATTTCGATTCGGCAATTACTTGCTTACTACCGCTTGTTATCTCTCGTTGAAGAGCATAGGACACTCACCAGGATTCTATATCCCAATTTTACCTTGGCCATCCTTTCCAATTGTTCATAATTGCTATTCATTCTTTTGATGTCTAACACATCTTCGTTCAGCAATAATACAGTTAAACCTACTTGTTTATGTTTAATTAATTAATTATTTTTGTGATTATGAATATACTTTAGCCTAATTCACAGTTTCCATCAAACAACGTGTACAGTTACTGAACTAAAAGTTGTTGAGTTACTTGTTTAAAATTTCATTATGAACAACTGACTATTTACCATGTAGATGGAAAATACATTGACATGGTTTGTTTTGACATTAACGGATGAAACGTTTTATGGTGTTAGTAATACTAGTCATTTCACCACCTGTTATTTCGAGAATGTTTTCCAGGTTATATGGGGTTGCGATTCAGGAAAATTCATTTCTAGCATTCAATCATCTTTTTATGTTTTTGTTGGTAAAACAACATCCATTAATATAAGCAATTCAGTTTAGTCAACTTCTGTTCGAATTGTTCATTCTTTAATGAAATCCAAATTATTAAACACTTTAAGCTATGATACATACAACTAAACTATTAACGGGATATGATAGTGTTAGCAGAATGGATAGAACATCAGGTAAGTGATTCTGCAGTCAAAGGAAAGTGTATCAAGATATGAATTACGTTTATTTGTTCTATTTTACAGGTGTGTACTAACTGTAATCCTTAAAATACTATCCAAACGTCATTACACACTAAATAACATACCGGATCAAGAAGAAGTTAGTTCAATTTTTTCTTAAATTCTTATTAATTTTATAAATTTAGTCACTAAGTATATGACGTTGAGTGTTTTGAAGTGAAGGTTGTTTTTCTGTATAACACTCAATCAATAGCTATCACTGTTGTATATGACCAAGTTGAACATATAAACGGGTATAATCTTGGACTAGTTTAAGCAAGTACATTACTATAGCGTACACTGCAAAAAATAGTAAAAGACAGTTAACATCGATAAACCTTCAAAAATCTGTTTAATTGAGAAATTGAAAACATTGACGTTGTTTCAGTGGTGCCAATAAACCCTTAACAATTGGCTTAAGTACTAATCACTAGACATTAAGACTTTAGTGCACTTTTGGAGACAATCATATCGTTCTATCTAAACAAAAGTTATTTCTAGATTGATGACATTTCTCGATTTATATATAGACGGAGTATATTGGTATTTTGAATGTCTTTACACAGGAATAAATTTATATTTATGACGTGGAAGTTGTGCAGCTTAGTTGGATGAGCTGAGTGATGTGATTTCGTTAAGGTTGATAATTTAGTAGTGTTTTCATTATCATTATGGACACTGTCAGCCACATAAACTTTATTCGATATGATAAGATATTACAAATCCAGGGAAGAAGTATTCTAACCACATTTTATGACGGCTTATTAGTTGGTGGAGTTATTATTTCAAATATTCCACTCAAGATATATGCTTCATATCTTGGACCAGCAGCAATCCAATTCACAGATTGAGGTGTTTTCACCCCATCCACCCGAACTGATTACTACCATACAGGTCGACCTAATTTATTTGGTAGTTATTAAGTTTTTGTTTTTGGAATTAATGAATACAAATGGTTGACTTTTAATTCACTAGGTACTTGCCATGCAAAATTCTGGACAAAAACTACTTGAAAATCATGTTCTGAAACGTGGATTAAATGATTTGTTTAAAAGGTCAAAGGAAAACATGAAATGGACAAAAACTCATCGTGATGTTATCAGTAATTGGTTAAATAAAAATGTTCCCAATACAATCACATTACTTTGAATGCATTTCTTTCAGACTAATCAACAATTTCACTATTAGACAGTTTTATTCTGTTGAATTAATTGATTACTGGTTTGTCAATTCACAGGTCTATCAGTCGATCTATCAATCAATTCATCTGTACTTGTGTCTCTGTAACAAACTACTCATTTCTCTTGTTTCCCTCTTATTCAATGTTAAGTATTCATATTTCGGTTTTCATGTGGTCTTATTATTAATATTATTATTATTTTGAATGTTCTAATATCCATTCGTCACTGGAACGTATATACATGTGTACAATGGTTCGATCGTACATATATTCATTCTACTATTATTGGCAATACACATTTTTCTTTATTACAGATGGACGAGAATATGTTTTATAGTGCAAAGATGATATAAAAATGGATATACAAGCTCAGTTACTGTATGAATAATTGCTATTATTGTTCCTATTATCGTTATTAGTATTGTTATTATTATCGTTATTGTTATTAATACTACTATTAATTATGATAGCTATTAACCAGAATGCATGCTTATCTGTAAAGGTACATTTGTTTAATTTCTATGTTCTGATTAAATTCTTGAGCGCTGATCTGGTGTGTAATTAGTACTTATACTCCATAAAAGTGATAAGATTGTTTGTGTTTTCAAGTGTTTGTTCATCAAGATTTTGAAACTTATATATACACTAAGTAATGTAATTTACATCCTCTTAGTTAGAGAAATTCTCTGGAGTTTTAGCGACAAATGTCCAAGAAATTTAAATTATGGCATATTCAACTGCGATTTACTCTACCAAACAATCTGTGAATCTGGCGTTCGTAGACTTTAATTTAATGTTTGTCCTTACTAACGTACTCTCTGTTGTGTCAAAGCAGTTACTTCTGTGGTATACTGTCAGGTCCTATTAATTTCCCACTCTTGATCTGTCTGATGATCATACTGATTTCTTCAATCGTTGGTGGAGTGACATCTATAGGAAGTTCTGTAACTGGTGCTTCGATGTCTGATGGATGCAATGGAGATGACTTATTCAGAAATTCTTCAAAGTGATCCACACATTTTTGACTCTATACGTGAATCAAAGTGATTGTCTAGCCTGCTGTGTCCTTGCCTGGACTCCTCAGCTCCCTTATAAGTTATTCGTAACGTAACATAGCTGTTCCACATTTACTTCACTTGCAGTTTTTCCGCTGTTGTTGCTAGGTCCTCTACATATATCTGCTTGTCAGGTCTAAAGCTGCTCTTCACCTGCTTGTCAACTCGTGTGCATCAGCTTGTGCCTTTACCTTATCTGTTCTTGTTCGGCTGTTGTTAACTGCTGTCTTATTATTATTCCTATCGTGAATCTTGTCTAGCGTTTCGATAAAAATCCTGACACGTTGAAGTTAATACTTGTTTGATTCCTCTCTAATTGTCCTCCATCGTAGTTTTTCTTTTTTCAGTAGATCGTCTTATGCTTCGAACCTGTTGTTGAGAGTTTACTTGAATTTGTTTGGCTTGTCAGTACGTCAAAAAATGTGTGTTTTGAGCATTTACGATGCTGTTACGCAGCTCTATATTGCTTCATTTGCTACAGTTTCACATTGGTTATTACCACTTGTAGATGTGAGGCTGTCAGCTCTTTTGATTCTTTTGCCTTCCATTGAGCTTGCGAAATTTTCACTGATAAAAATACGGGCAAGCTTGGTGACCATAATGTGATCCGGAAAGATCAATGTAGATATGTGAATGCGCGAGTGAGATAATATTGTGTCTCCTATAACCATTTCGTTGAATACGCATAAAATTTCAAATCTTACAGTATTTTCGTTTATTTCTCTCTGAGCATTTCGTCTCTAGATAACATAATACACTGTGTTGACTAATCCGACCTCGGCGTTAAATCATACTTTAGGACGGTCAAGTGTTTCCATAAAACTAAACACTAAAGTGGTTGGCACATAATATTTCACAACCAAGTTGTTCACAGGGTTCTTGAGTTTAGATAAATGTCAACCAACGACAATATCATGAATAAGTATCACACAGTGGTTAGCACAGTTCTCTTTTATAGATATTTTGCAAACGAATAACAATTAAAATCACAGAAAAAACGTGATTTCTTAGAAAGCATTTAACAGTTCGAAACAATGTCACGCTTACAGACCGTGATCTAAACTTATAAGAATAAGATCAACGAAATGAATCTTGTCTAGTGTACTGTCGACTTTTAAACAGATTTAGGTTACATGACAGTGGTCATATGCAATGTTTGACATGATTGCTTGACTTTTATTGTTTCTTTTCGAAGCATTTGTGAATGCTGGTCATTGTTCTCCTAAACACTCTACATTTCTTTATTCGGTTTACGACCGTTTTACAGCACGAGGACTATTAAGTCCATCCAACTTCAAATAGACGGATTCCAGCCGGTTGAGCATATATAGGATTCTTAGTTTTTCAGTTTTTATTTGTTGGTTGATTGCTGTCACCTTTTACAGTTGAAATCTGAAGCTCTCATGAATGTCGTACGGTGTTGTATATCTTATGTGCTTGAACTAGCCATGTCTGGAGATCATATATATGGAAACAACCAAACTATGTGGATTCCTATAAACCTCTGGATGGGTTGGCATTGGCGAAGTTCAAACAATTCGAAACAGTCTGTTCTGATTCACATACGATTTGACATAACAGTGAACATCTCATTAATTCACTTCACAAAGGCTGATGAGATAAAATTATTGATAAAATGTACTGTTCTGCTCAATTAGGGATATGGATAACGGTGTCTGATGTTATATTCAATTTAAAGATTTTAATAAATATAGAGACAGAATACATTATGACATTGTATTTGTTTGTTAGGAATGTTGATACTAATTTAGAATACATTACTTCGAAACCTTAGTCTTGAAAACTTATTTGAAACTAGTAACCTAAGCAAGACACATATTTGTGCTAAACGTTTATGGAGAATGAATATTTTCTGTATGAAACTATCGGAGGATAAGTCTACTCACAATTGCGTCCAAACGATTAACTTCGTAATAATTCATGGGTTGTTCAAAACCCGACATTGATTGACTCGCGAGGAGCAGGCTGGTTTTCGTTCTGGTCTAGGATGTATTGATCAGGTCAATTCACGTTGAGTGAAGGCCAGAGCGACTTTCACCGATCTGGGCCGTCCGTGACGCCTTCATGATGTTAGTCTAGCTGTAAAAGTTTGGATTTACAACGCGTCGATGAGAGCAGTTTTCCTCTATGCTTGTGAAACCTGAAACCCAGAGAATTCCTCGTTGTGCATTATTCGCCGACGTTGGGACTGGTTGGAAAAAGGGAGCGTTGGCCAGTGTATAACATGGTCTCGTGGTATGAAAGAAAGCTGCAAAGGGTTGGCTTTTTTGGTCTTTTACGACTCCGTGGTTTGGGTGCTAGAGATGGCGCAGCACAGTGGCTAGATACGTTATCAGATATGGCTCAGAATAGAAGTCAGTGGCGATCGCGCTGTAACCTTCGTTTACTTTCTTCATAAAAGGTGGCCGCAACTCCTTTATCTGAAAGAATTCTTTCACTACCATAAACTTATTTGTAGTCGTTATTGTTTTTTATTCATTTTATACGCACACTACATTCTTTATCTCTTCCCATTCTCATTGATATTGTGTGGTGCATATGTATCTGGTGCCTCTTGTACCAATATTTATGTGTTCAAATAAATAAATAGATAAAAACTCATTAGTATTCAAAGATATAAGTCTATTTTTCATTCGTTCTAGTTGTACGTCGCTATTTTTAGTTCTCTTATTTACTGATACATTTGTTATCAGTACAATGACATTGAATTGACCATGTTGCGCGTGTCTTTGTTAGGAATAGGGCGATTTTAGTAAGCCTATCACTTTAAACGTGAGTTTCGCAGTCCAAGCAAATTGTTCATTTATTATGGGACCGGTCATTATTTAAACATCTATATTTGTGAATAAATATTCAGAGGTGCTAAACCGTTTCCTTACTTTGCTTACCGCATCTGAGTTGTTCTAGTGTTTCTGGTAGTTTGTCAAACAGTGATAAAAAGACACATATTCCATCGGAAACAAGTTAATGAGAATGTGGAATTTCAATCAAACTATAAACTGTTCGGTGTTGGAATGCCAATGAAGAATTTGAATCACTGTAGGCTCGTTACGTCCTAACATGCGACATTTCTGAAGAACACTTCCTCAAACACCTCCATGAGGATCGGACTCGGAGCCCTTGGTCTCGTGCATGAACTAATGTATTAGATTTCCACTGTTAGTCTGTGAGCAAAAGAGCGGATTTTTCCAGAGACTGAGGTGGTTACATATTGAAGACAATGGAGATTGTCGCCCAATATCGTGGACGGTTTGAGGTTGTTCTGAAACACGTTAGATTCCGTTCAATCGTTTAGATGTTGGGCGCGCGTGCGCATCACTGAATTTTCTCAGTTCGATTCGCGTTGACAGGGTTGTGGATGTAAAATCCTGAAATGCTCATTCTACGAGGAAACGACAGTCCACTGATTTTATGTTTCCATTAGTGGTCTAACACTGGTCGGTTCATGATTTCAATAGAATGAACATTTTATGATGATTGATAATTATTTTGCGTTTGTACACAAATTCATCGTTAGGTCAGAACAAACAAGATTTTCTCATATCCTGATGTTGTCCAGAATTCATTTATCCATCAGCTGACGTAACGCAACATCAATCGATTTATTTCCTTGCAGGAGAAAAATTAAAGTTAGTGCATTATTCTCCTGTACAGTTAATAATAATGCTATGTTAATTCCGCCAAACGAACGAATAATACCTAATTCCCAGCCGCTTTTTCATATGTCTGGACGTATCTGAGTTTTGAATAAGAGCATCAGAGAAAACATATAGCTGGGATGAAGGTTTTACTTTAACGATAACCTATGATCAGAATACAATCTTTCTTAAACAATTTTCCAATCAGTTGATATACTGACTAGATATTGTTGTGTATACTGATTACGAAAATTG